CCTAGATTAAGGCTATTTCAAGTCAAGGTAGAAGAAAACATGGATATAAAGGTTATATCATCATCTCTCTTCTTGGAACTGCAATGAGGTGGAATAAAACGATCTCTGTCCTTCTGTACTCAGACTATAGGTCAGATAGATCGGGATCAACATTGTAGCTTTGTTGCTAGGACATAAGTCATGGGCAGATGTGGGCATGTGAGTGCTTCAGGGATCACACACTTAGCCACACACTTGTCAGTGGAAGAAAAAGCACCTGGCATCTGTCCCAGCAGCAGCTGCTCACTTCAGAGACAGCAGACCTGATTTCATGCTGCCAGCACATCCCTGCAAGAGGGAAGTAAAAAGAGTCTTAAGTCCATATGCTGCTTCCCCTGGCACTTCTGCCAGGACTAACATTCAAATTAAGCCAGGTCTCTGTGTATCTCCAGTCAGATGAGAAACAGCTCGATGTATGCTAGAGGGTAAAGAGAAATTATTTTTATTTGTAATTTTGTTCTAAATAACCCAAAACAAGGACAATTTATTTGTTGAATATGAGTAAATCAATTATGATTTTCTCCTTCAAGTTCCCTGTTCTACTAACAGCCCATATTAATTTGTATGCTTTCTATATTTATAACTTTAGAACTCAGTTTATTAGAGAGCAACTTTTAACTTCTGATGTTGAACATTATTGAGTTGCATGACCATTTTACATATTTTTTCTAAGGTGATTTAAGAATATGTAATCTCTCCTGAATATGAGAGAAGTAACTGTATAGAACTCCAGGCTCAGCAAGACAACTATGACCCCATTTCTGCCTGACCCATTGGCTCCGTGACTTTGGCCAAGTTGTGGTTTCTCTGAGTCTGTAGTGGTGCATGTGTCAAATGAGGGACTTTGACTTTCAGTACTTTTCTAAAAACCTTTTTCAAGTAACACTTTAAAAAAATGTTTGCATGAAACTGTTACACAAACAGAAGTAGAACTGTTTGGCTGAAGAAGGGATGGAGGCTTTAATGGGCGACTTGTTATCCACTCATCCTGCCCTTTCCTCAGTGGAACCTTAGATTTTGAAACAGTTTGAAAACCAGCAGCTGTCAGACTTTTTTTTTGTACTCAATACCTTCCTTTCATTTGCAGAGGTAGGTGCCATGCCACTAAGCTAAGTCCCCAGCCCTAGAGAATTCTAATAAGCTAAAATCCATGATACACCATTGTGCTGTGCACAGTGTGGTCACCTTATGTTTTTGGAAATGGAAAGGATAAGAGAAGTTTCAGACTTTCTTGCCTTATTAAGGCTGAACTTGCTTTCTCTAGCCTTGGAAGCATGATCCCCACCAAGATAAAAACATCCAGCTACAGAAAAAGGTGAAATGAGTTAATAAAATTCCAATTGCTATATAGTATTAACTCAAGAGAACATGTCATAATTTATTTTACTATTTTCCCACTAGACCTTTACGGTTCTTCGCTGTAATATTTTTTGAAACAGGGTCTCACTATGTAGTGGCTATATATTTAACAAGGAGTTAATATATATTAACATATTATATATATACATACATAAAAGGAGGAGTTCATATACCTTTTGATTTACAAGTAAACATAAAGTATATGTTTTTATATCTCCTGTCAGCATTCAGTTTCTGCTGAATTGTTGCTTGACACATGTCAGAAGCCTTTGGTGACACCCCAGCTAGCAGAATAAGAGAGTGATAGGGATTGGTGTCACTCCGACACTTGTCATGATATGTGCTGGGCACTGTAGTAAGCCATTCTGCTGGGAACAACAATTCTGAATTTATATTAAGGGAAATGTAAGGAAAGTGTGATTTAATGAGAAAGTGAGAATTAAAGGGACTTTTCTAAATTCACTAAATATTTGTCAGGTTTGAGTTGTAATCGAAATCACTCCAACCTCCCACCAACCAGGAAAGAGCTGGAGCCTTCTGTTGTCAAGACCCTGAGTGAGCTTTGGGAGCCACTTTCGAGAGCAGCCCTCCCTCCTGATGTCCTCAGCCTGTCTTTTTTCCCTCTAGGCTTTCTTCTCTCTTTCTGAAAATCAGTTGCCCTTAGCCATCATTTATGTTATAAAGAGCTCAAGTGTCAGCAGAATGCTAGAATAGAATTTATGGGGGTGAAGGCCACTCATGGCTAAAACAGAGACGGTTTGCCAGATAGTTTTTAAGAGGAGGAAAAACAACATTTTTGGTTTAACTTTGCTGTATCGCAAGTATTTGCTATCTAGAGAGTTAAAATGTCTTCATGACAGGGCTGAGGATGTTGTTCAGTGGTAGAGTCCATGTTCAGCATGCGTGAGATCCTGATTTCAAACTCCAACACACACAAAAGAAGAAAAAATAAAAGAAGTCTTATGGCTTATGTCTAGCTATCTCCCCAAAGCCTTATGTGCTCATAGGTGGAGCTTTTCTGAGGTGGCTGGATCTAGGATGTGTGATTGTGGAATAAGGGTGTGTGATAACTAAATCAGTCCACTGATTAGCATAGTTCTGGATGTGGAAAATGGAAGACCCACCATGGGTGTGTGTGACACCAACCAAATAGTTCTGGATCCTGGATGGGATATAAAGAGAAAGATGAAGGCAACCTCACAGCCTTCTGCCTATCATGCTACAAACTGTTTAACCTCTGTGATGCCCCTCTGCCATGAAGCCAGCTGACTTAGGATTGAAACCTCTACAAACTGTGAGCTACAAACGATTCCTCCTTTAACTTTCAGTGTCACGTATTTTCTCTCAGCAATGCAGAAAATAAGATAAAGAATTAAGGCAAAAGGCAAAAAAGTTCTTCACAAAAGTAAACAATATTTTGAGTAATACATTTCATTTTTATCCAAGCCCCAAACAAGTTTATGTATTATGTTCTTTGGCTAGGATATAAAGACATAAAATCTTTTACCTATAGAAAGTAAATAAGTAGCAAAGCACTTTTGTAGGAAAAGACAATTACATTGTAGTTCTTTGACTCAGGTCTTATACGATTTACATTTCACACAATGTTAATTAGTGGTAATATACGGTTCTTTTCATAAAGTCCTCTGCTTCTGGTATTCATTCATAACTTTGGAACACTGTTCTGTAATGCTGTTGCTATAGAAATGTTACAGAAAATGGTCTTTTGAAGTATTTTGAAACCTGTGAAAGAAATTTTTTCACCCCTAAAATTCCTTAAGGCATTGGATATCACCTTATCATTGCCACCACAAAATATTATTATGTTGTGTGTGCTGGGTCCCACCCTGCTTGGAGCATTAGTAAGAAAAAAGCTTTTATACAAAAGATTTAATAGGAACATGTTAGCTGGAGAAAGTGCAAATTACACTGGCATATTCCCACACATTTTATAAATAGAGAGTGTAATTAGTCACATGTTTCCAAAGAATTGACTCCTAAGTTCTGAAAAGATAGCAAAGTTACAGTAAGAGCTGTATATTGTTTTCTTGTGTTTTTTATTGTTATTTTTACACATTGTTTTCTTTGTTTCCACTTCTACACAGTGATGAACCAAAGAAAGTTTGAAAAGTGGCTCTAAGCTATGTTTATCCTATTTAAGCCGATTTTATGAAATCTTTGAATGTATTTTAAATCTTTTGCCAACAGATTTTAGCATCTCATTGTAATACCACTTTTTCCATTTCTGCATTTCAGATTCTGTGATAAAAGTTACTAACAGAATGTATGCTTAATTTTGAATTATTTTAAAAGTAGGGAAAAGTAGAGTTAACTTTCAGGAAAATTCTATTAAACTGGAAAAAAGGATTAAAGTTTTATAATAGAAAAAGATTTACTAATAATTATAAAATAGGGCGAGGGTTGTAGCTCAGTGGCTTGCCTGTTTGGCAAGCACAAAGTCCTAAATTTGACCCCTGGTGGTCATGGGGGACAATAATTCATCCAGTATAAAATATGAGCTTTGTAATTTTTTAGTAAATCTTCATCTTTATATTTAATAGACCAATTTTTTTCTTTTTTGACTTTTATTAGTACATTTTTGCCACACTTAATGATTACATTAATTGTAGGGAATTAGTACATGTACATAACACATTTCAATTCTTTTACTTCCCCTTTCCTCAACCCACTTTTATTTTTGCCTGCATTTCATTTAGTCATAATTTAGAAAGTTAATCACCAGACATACCGATTAAAAAGCAGACTATATAGGCCATAAACTATGTAAAACACATAAGGCAGGGCTGGGGATTTAGCTCAGTGGTTCTAGTGCCTGCTTTGCAAGCACAAGGACCTGAGTTTGATCTCCGATACCAAAAAATTAAAATAAAAATAAGACAATTGTAATCAGATACACTTTTAAATATATTGTCCTACCTGAATTACAATGACTTTTTCTGTCTCATTTTTCCTTTAATAGACCAGTACTTATTGTACTTATTCGATTAACCTAAGAGCATGGCATATATGTATTGTCTACAATCTAACTTAAAATTATGTAAGAATTTTACCTATGTAATTTTTACATCATTCTTCAGGGTAGATCTTGTCTGTGTAAGTCTTAAAAGCCACATTTTCTAAGTGGTACATACCATTTCCATGAAAATGCCTCTTCTTAAATTTCAACATTATGAATAAAGTTTGATTTATTTCAGATGCTGCAACAGTTGGAAAACAGTATAGGTACAGAAGTAGGAGAAGGTACGTTTCCACAATTTATGATTTAAATTTATATTAATTGATTTTTGAAAGAAATCATAAAAAGCAAATGGCATCTCTTTCATTTCACTGGGTAATAGAAAATTCTTTCATGTTTTATAACATCAAGTAAAAGGTGTGCAAATATAAACATTTCCAATAAAGGATATACTTAGTCCTCATTTTGTCATAACTTCAAACTTTTAAAGTTTCATAATTTTAAAAGTCTCAGAAAGCCTGTGTTTCTTATCTCCTTTCCACTGCTTACCAAATGCACACACACACACGCACGCACACACACATCCTCAGCTGCTCATTAACACACACGCACACGCACACACACACACACGCGCGTCCTTAGCTGCTCATTAACACACACACACACACACATCCTCAGGTGCTCATTAACACACACACAAGCACACTCACACACACACGTCCTCAGCTGCTCATTAAGCTGTGTTTGAAAAACAGACACCTCCACCGCTTCTCCTCATCAGGTCACAGTCCACCCTGGGAGGAGTCAGACACCTGCAGCTCATAAACTGGTGCTTGACAAATTTTGTTTTAATGTTCCTGTCATTGATTTTGTTGTCGGTTTACCTTTGGCCTTCAGGGAATTTTGAGATTCTTTAGCATGGAATAAAATACTCAGATCACTTGGATTCACACCTCCTGCAATCCCCCTCCTCTGTGCCTGGGCCCTGCCTCCCCGCTTCCCCCTTCCTGGTGTGCTTTCTCCTTTTACTTCAGGTGCCACCTCACATATCACCTCCACCCCAAATCCTACATGAGTGACACGAGATGGCTGAAGGTCTCTGAGTCCCAGTCATGCCACTGTGTATCTGTCACAGCATCTGTGTGGATTCCACCTGAGACCTGTTTTCCCAGGTTACAGTGTCAGTTTGGCCCCTGCACCGTAATCTTATCCTCCCAGGACCTTAGCACATGGTTGTGTCAGCCACATGATAGTCAGTTCAGTGTGCAGCTAGAGGCAAATTATGTTTAGTAATAATTTTGTATTATACTTGTACATATGGAGTTTTCATTACTGATGAACACATTCTCAATTTTTTGATAACTCATGTTTAGTTAACTATGAAGTCTTGGAGATAAAGACTGTAACTCCTTTTCTTTCCAGCTACTGCTGAGCTTGAAATGGGAATCCTTAACATACAAGAGCTGCTAAAGAATCTAGCCAAGTTCTAATTTCAGAAACATCACAAGGCTGCCTGGAGATTTTAAGGAAATGACATAAGACCTGAAAAGATAATTTTAATTTTTGGACTTTTTATATAAACATTTTAATTATTTCCCATAACGTGTATGATGGGAAAACTTTGTTAAAAGAAAAAAATGTATCATAGACACATGATGAAAATTTCTTTACTGTTTTAAACTGATTCTTGACATTTGTAACTTTTTAAGTGATGTTTAAAAGTAAAAACCAGTGTTATGGAGTTTTATGCACTCAAACTTCCCCAGTTTCAGATGTTTTGTTTTGTTTCTCCGGTACCAGGCATTGAACTCAGGACCTTACAATTGCAAGGCAGGCATGGTGCCACTGAATCAAATCCTTGACCCTGCGCCAGCTATTTTAAACTCACGCAAACATCCAAGTTGTCATTAATACTTTGTTGGAGTGAAATATCATCGTAGTGATATTTTGAAAATTGCATTTTCCCAATGTTTATCCCTCTGTATGGATCTAAACAGTTAGACATCATTCTGGTATAATGATGCTGTGACTGCTATCAACGGTGTCATGTGTTGCAAGTGCCATCAGACATATCATTTTATTGTTTTCTTTTAAGAAATGACTTATAGGCCCAGCGTGGTGGTGCACACCTATAGTCTGAGCACTTGGGAGGTTGAGGCTAAAGGATTGCAATGAGTTCAAAGTCAGCCTTGGCTACATAGTGAGACCATGTCTCAAAACAAACAAAAACAAAGCAAACTATAATCCTTTCCTCACAGAGAAACATTTTCTGGCTTTGCACCTTTCTGTTTGTGTTTTTTTCCCCCAGAGATTAAATTCAGAGAGCACTGAGTGGCTACATCCCCATCTCTGATTTTTTTAATGAAATAAACAGAAATTTATGCAACACAGACTGATAATCAAAATACATCATTAGTTTGATATGATTTTCAAACATTATATGTTCTTTCTCATTTTCTTTGCATATAATATTTTTGAAATCAGGTAATTACAAATAAAACTAAGTGACATAGTTGAGAAACTGTCCTCAAAATTTTGATTTATAAACTCCTTGGTTTTATTAATTGATAAATATCATATGCTCGTTGATCATACCCCTTATATTTGCTTAAAAAACTTCCCTCAGGAAAAAAATATACTTATATTTGAAATCCAAAAGCAACTTAAAGAATTCACATTTTTAAGGTCAGATTTTTCTGTTTCTATTTAATTATATCCCATACTTATTTTTAATTTTATAAGCATCATGATAGAATTTAACACCAATACATATGTAATATTCTTCCCAAACAAATGACTATGAATTAAATCAAACATGTAATTTAGAGAAATCATAAGGTTTCCAGAGAAATTATGAATATGCCAAATGTGCACCATCCTTCTACATTCATGACCATGTTTCTCATTTAATAGTGCACACATTTGCATAAATACAAACACCCACACATATACACAATGCATATTTTCTACTATATGATTTATACTTTGATATAATAAAACAGTGCAGTGCTGTGTGGAAAGTTTGTGATTTGTGTGACTTGAGAAAAACCAAATGTCTTTTAAGGATTTGGAGAATTTGTAATACGTACCAGCTACTAAATGATATTAAAACTTTATTATCCATTTATTTAAGTATAGTTATGATAAAATTTACTTAAAATTAATATCCATTTTCTGTGGAAAATAGGTACAAAAAATATTGAAAGCATAACAAGATTTTTCTTAACAAATTTCCAACCAAACAAGCTATAGTGACAGAAAAGGAAGTTTATAGAAAGCAGAGATGAAAGAGGAAAATGACACATGGACCTTAATACTTTTCATACGACTCATATATATAGATTTCATAAATTCTCAAATAAAAAAGCAAAGACAATGAGAACCAAAATAACTCATCAGCTTGGTAGACCAACATATAAAGACAAAGATTAATGTGTTGATAAATTTTAAAAATATGAAATGTAAAGCCTGAGATTTAGCTCGGTAGTACGGCACCTGCCTAGCCAGAACAATGTGCTGAGTTTAATCCCCAGCACCAGGCGAAGAAAAAGAAGAAAGAAAAAAAGAAGAAAAGAGAAAAGAAGCATATGTACTTTCTAGCATATATAGATTAAAAATAGATTATTTGTTATCTCTTTCTCTTGAATTGTTCCCTTCACAAGGATATAGTGCCCTTCTTTGTCTCTTTCCATCAGTTTAGGTTTGAAACTTACTGTGTTTTGAATAAGATTGCTACCCCTGCTTTTTTCTGGGCTCTTGTTACATGAAGTTTTCTGTCCTTTCACTTTCAGTGTATGGGCTTCTTTTTGTATTAGAAGTGTCTGGTATACAACATATTATTGGATTTTGCTTCTTAATCTATTCTGCCGGTCTATTTCTCTTGATTGGTGAATTGAGGCCGTTGATATTGATGGATATAACTGATGTGTACTAACTTATTATTGTCATGTTTTTATTCCCCTTATCCTTTTAGTTTCTTACCTTACCTATTTGATTTGCTCTGTTGGGCCTCCTTGTGTTGTTACCTTCATTGTATTTTTCTAGGATATTGTTTACAATTTGTTTTATTGCTGGTTTGGTATTCATGAAGTTTCTCAGGTGTTCTTCATCATGGAAGTATCTTATTTCCCCATCTATTTTGAAAGAAAGTTTTGCAAGATACATCAGCCTAGGTTGGAGGTTGCTTTCATTTAGTACTTGAAATGTCCCATTCCAGGGTCTCCTTAAGCTAAAGGTTTGTGTTGAAAAGTCTGCTGTGATTCTGATGGACTTTCTTCTGCATGTAAATTGTTTCTTATCTCTTACTGCTTGTAGTATTTTGTTCTGTTGGGTTTCTGGGATCTTGATTGTTATCTGTCTAGGTGTAATTTTTTTTTTTTTTTTTTGATCATGGCTAGTTGGAGTCCTATATGCCTCACTTATCTGTATGTCAAATTCTTCCCCTCTATTTGGGAGGTTTTCTATAATTAATTCTGTGACCAGCTTTTTAAAGTGATTTGCATTTTCTCCTGCTATATCTTGAATTCCTGTCAGTCTCATGTTATTCCTCTTTGTATTGTCTAAGCGTACTTGTGTGAATTTCTCATGATCCCCTACTGTTTTTAAGAGACCTCTCTTTTCACGGTCACTGACTGTAATTTTATCTTCTAGATCTGAGATTCTATCTTCGGACTCTTTTGTTCTTTTGTGAACACTCTTAGTGGAGTTTTTAATCTCCTGGATATCTGTTTGAATCTGTCCTATGGATTCCATT